ACAGAAATAAGACTGATCAGTCGGAGAAAAGTAAAATGTTAACTGCATTATTTTATTTCCAGTGATATTGATGTTAAAGGCCTAGTTAAGTAAAGTTTTAAATTAAGTTAAGTTTCGACTGAAGTTTAGTTTAGATGATATCTTGATGTCCATTGAACGTTAAAGAAAACACTTTTATTTTCGAAAGGTAAGCCTGATTTTTATTTTAAAAACTTGTTCATTATGATTAATGTTTTAATTCCGCTGTATTTTTGTGGTGTTATTGGTATACATCATTGGAGTTTTTACGAAGTATGACAGAACTCACTCCTCAGAATGCATTTCATTCATTCATTCAATGTTTGCCAATTTAACCTTATTTCAAGTTTGGATACCCCAGTTAAATGGCTGAGTTTCTGAACAGATCAGGTATGAACAATTTAAAGTTGCTTTAACAGTTGGAAATTGCTAAAGAATACTGCAATACTAAGGACTGATTAGTCGGAGAAAAGTAAAATGTTAAACTACATTATTTTATTTTATTTTCGGCAATATGGATGGCCAAGTTAGGTTAAGTTAAGCTTTAAATCAAGTAAAATTTTGACTGAAGTTTAGTTTATATGATATTTTGATGTCCATTGAACGTTATTTAAAACAGTTTTATTTTCGAAAGGTAAGCCTGATTTTTATTTTAAGAACGTATTCATTATCATCAATGTTTTAATTCCGTTGTATTTTTTCGGTTTTATTGATATAGATCAGTGGCGTTTTTACGAGGCATGATATATCTCACTCCTCAGTCATAATTCATATATTCATTCATTCATTCATTCATTCATTCATTCATTCATTCATTCACTGTTTGCCAAGTTAACGCTAGTTCAATTTTGGATGTCCCTATCAATAATTAATGCAAATGCACTGGTATTGAAATAGTTTCCGAACAGCTCAGTGGGAACAATTTAAAGTTGCTTTAACAGTTGGAAATTGCTAAAGAATACTGCAATACTTTTCTGACCAAGGACTGATCAATCGGACAAAAGTAAAATGTTAAACTGCATTATTTTATTTCCGGAAATATGGATGGCCAAGATAAGTTAATTTTTAAATCAAGTCAAGATTAGTTAAGATGATATTGCGATGTCCACTGAACGTTATTAAACAGTTTTATTTTCGAAAGGTAAGCCTGACTTTGATTTAAACACATTTTCATTATCTTTTTCTTATTCATTATAAAGATCGATGTTTTAGTTTCACAAAAGTAGTGCTTCTACAAAATGTTGAAATACACTACTTTGTGTTTAGTCTGTCTAAGACACATAAAAGTAAGAGGGTTACATTTAAACACTAAGATGTAGGGATGTACTAATTCTGAATTTATTACGTCCTACGAAACGTATTAGGAAATAAA